AGCAGGTCAGCGGAGACTCACCTTGTCAGGATGAAAGGCCGAGTATGTGGACAGATCAAGTCCACTGGCTGTGTGTTCACATGTCCTGCCAAGTCCAATACCCCCCAAGCTACAGTGTCTCTGAACCACATGACTGGCCATTCAAAATGTGCAGTTAGTAAAAATAGACAGGCAGCAAATGGTGACGTGCAGGATAAACCTGGATGCTAATGGTGGGAGACAATTTAATATGATTATAATGTCAAACTTCGCGGGTCTTATCAACATACCAGTCGAGTACCACAATCCTAACATAGCTCAATGGGCGCAAAAATGAATCAGCTTATAGGATAGATCACAACAAAGAGAGTCTTATAGCCAATCCAGCACACATTTCCCCCATCGTTTATTGTCTTTAACCAAGTTCATTTGTAATTGCACATTGCGGAGCAAAACCGTGTGGAATGTATAGACATACAGTATAAGCCTATTTCTAAGGCTTAGTGAGTCTCGTGTAAAGTGCTAATCAATAAATAAATGGCAGTTATAATGAAGGTATTTACCATTTACCAAGGCTCACTAACATTGAAGGCTACATAAATAACGTGATCTATAAATAGTCTTGCTGCTCTAAATTTCAAAATCACGTAAAGATCCAAAGAGCAGTGTAGGATTTCATGGTCGCACATTTCAAACTAGCTTAATGTTTTACTTTATTTTATTTTATTGCACATATGATGTGATTAGGGTTTAGTGCCCCATGACTTCCCAACCATCTATTTGTCCCACCAAACACAATAGTGAGTGTGCGCATAAGGGTTAATAGTTGGAGAAGTCCATGTTGCTTATTTTCATTCAGTGTTTAATTTATTACAGGTTAATGAATCGGAAATAACACCAGCATCTGGATTACTCATCTGCTATAATATACATCAATATCATTGTGTATGTGTGAGTGAGAGAGAGAAAACGAGAGAGAGAGAGAGAGAGACATAGACAGGGAGAAAGACGAAGAGGGAAAAGAAAGAGAGAGAGTTTTATTAGGCCCATAACTCTTCACAGTCCAGAGCAAGCTGCAAGCTTTAAAGCTGAAGGCCAAATCTCTGCACACTGGAGCCTAATTTGAAACAGCTCAGCTGGGAGCTGAGAAAATGGTGCCCAATATTAGAGAGATGCCTTAGCTTCACATTTAGCGTAGGACAACGGAAAGAGGGTGAGAACACGTGTGTGTTTGAGCAAATTAGCTGGACCCCATTCGTTTCATTCAGCATCCCTGAATTGTTTGGTAGAATAGGTCACTTTTGTTGGATTTTAATACAAAAGGAAATATTTTCACGTCCATTATAAGTGTTTATCTGAGGTTCTCCTGGGGGAAGGCGTGCAGCCACATTGAGTGCAGCATTGATTAATGAATGAGCACATGAAATAATGAAAGTGCGGCATCTAGTGGTAAAATGTATTGCAGTCTAAAAATTAAAAAGCATTAGGCTTTACAGAACAGGTTATATTCTTTAATTACTGGCTCTGCTTGATTTTCTCTTTCTTTATTTGATGGCCAACGTTTCCTTATTTCCTTATTTGACCTATACATGCAGGTTTGCGTTTAATTAATAGGAAAGTATATTTGTTAATAGATTGTTTGCTTTTCATTGAGTGTTCATTCGACGACATAGCCATTTATTATTTCAGCAGTTTCTGTTTTTATAAGTGATGAGTAATTGCTGAAGACTGGCATGAATTCTGTTTTATATGAAATCCATAAGGTAAAATGAATGCATGTGACTTCAGTGGTGGAAAACGTTAGCTATATTTTAAAAACGAGACTAATACACTCTTTTCAGTATGCTGTTCAGTAGTTCCGAATAATCTCTAACAATGCATCATACATTAGGCTATATATGGATTATATGTATTGCTTGTATAGCCTGTTTCCTGCAAGGAATGTCAATTAAAGTAATCAACATAGAGCTTTTGCGTTTACCAGTAGATTATCTGATTAACCGCAAACACGCCACCATATAGTCAACATATAAATACATAGTCTATATTAAAACCAGTCTGTAATAATATTTAAAAACGAACAAAACAACTCCATTATTGACCACAGGACCAAAAAGACTACAACGCAAGGCACTCTGGGAAATAAATCAACCTTTGCCCTCAGCTTACGTCGTCTATGCATTACGTCCGTTACGTCTTCACGCCGTGCAAAAACTCGTGCTTAGTAGTTGAGATGACAGTTCATGTAATAGTGAAAGTCGGGTGTTTGCTTATTTCAACGCTAACCTGACAAAGAGAAACACTTACACACCAAGTGATGTAAGTATTCATTGAACCCAAATAGAAATTGAAAAGGCGTAGTTTAATGAAAGACCCCAACGAAGGCGTGGCCGTATGTGAATTCGGATCTAACCTTAGTCCGTTATTGTTGCAGTAGCTAGCTTGGTACATCAGTTAACCAACGCTTAAGATATGCTTTTGGTTCAGTTCACACCAAAGGTATTTGAAAAGTAAGAAGTCACAGCTAGGTGACTAACGGTCTCTTCCTCTGGCACAGTGATGGTCATATAACGGTACTGGTGCCTCATAGCAGCAGTGTAGTATATCCAGTGTATCATGGAGCCGCTAACGTTAGCTCCACTTCCTGCTAACGTGAATTCATGTCAGCTAATCTTTAGTGATTTTATTTAAACGGACAAAGTCAAACAGGAAACTCCCTTTTAGCCTGCAAGCCGTTATAAGTTATAAATGGGAAGTCTAAAAGAAAAGGCAAAGGCATTTTTTGTGACTGCCCTGGGGTCCTGATTTACTTTCTTAGCTTACAAAAATTACAGAGGTAACGTTAGAGAGCTGCACCTTCTGCATCCCATATCCATGGCCCATAAACAAAAGCCAAACCTGCATAACCAATACTATTTCTGTGCACACAGATTGGGTGTAGGATGTATGTTGTTGTCTCTTTCTCTTTAATGCGTGTTGGCAAACTCGTAGTGACACAATACTTACTGGGTTTCCATGGTCTTTTCTCTAAAACACACCTCTGGAATGATAGCAGTGATATCACAACAGCAGCCACACGTGGACTGAAATAATGTGTAAAAATGACTGAGTCAGGCTGAGACATTTTATATCTGTTTTATTGCTTTAGTCCTTAATAAAGCATTCATTCATTTAAATTTTAAAAGGTAAACCAGTCCTGGATGTCATCATTGCGCTTTATCCAGTGTGATAAAATAAGCCATTCACACAGTAGTGGCTTGGTATTGGCCATTTTCTTATTCCATACGAACTTCTTCCTATGTCCCGTACAGTGCAAAGACCTACCCATCTGCATGGTGTTTGCCAGTACCTTGCAGTTATATAGGAAGGCATAAGCATAGATTTTGTCAGTAAATCTTCAACAACAATAGCAGTGTTTTATGTGCAGTTACTGTATTGGTAGTTTGTTAAATTTTGTGATGATGTAAGGGCAGTGTGAATGTCACAGTGTAGCATAGGGCTTGAATGTGGTGTTTAACCTAAGCAGTATAAATTGTGCAACTGTAACAGCAAGGATTATGTGCTTAGTTTACTTGAAGCATGATGTTTAACAGAGACTTTCTGTTTCAGAGTGAAGCAAAGGAATCAAAAAGGAGGCTGCTGTATTTTATAGATATGGGGGCCCTTATATCCCGATGGAAGGTAAATGTGAGAGGAAAAAGATGAGTTTAGTCACAAAACACTTTAGGTTAGGAAAAGAAAGTGAAATATAGTACTTAACATTGCAACATGAAAACAAGATAAAAGATTTTAAAACATGACACTGAATGAGATAAAACTAGCCTATGCCATTCTCAGAATCTTAGCAAATGTATGTTTTTTAAAGCAGAGATTTTATCAGATAAAACTGATTTTGTTGGATTGGGCTGCTCAAGGAAAAAGCTACAAAGTCCTGGGACTGACATTTAAAAAAAGTTACCTATATCACAGTGGTTTAAGGAAACTGGTAAATAAACCATCTGGCTAACTCATGCAGTGCTGCAGCAAGTAACAGTAAAATCTTAAAATCATTTCCAGAATATACATGTTTGAGACAAATTGGGTGTGTTAGCCATCCAAGCACTGAACTCTGCACTAGAGCTATTGATAGCTAGAAATTCATACACTATTTTTAGACATACTAGAGAAGGTAAAGGGACTGTTGGCAAGAAACACTGAGCAAAACAAAGGGCAACTGTATTCACATTGTGTTTGCATTCATTCAGTTGAGAGAAGGGAGAGAATATTAACAGGAATTTGAACAGTTGTAGAGAAATGTGAAAGTTTATGTCATATTTGCTTTTATTTACATGTTGCTGAGATGTTTTAGTGAACCAGAAAATTGTTAGGTCACAAGTAAACATGTTTTTAGGAAGAGGGCTGATTGTTTATGGGCATATCAGTCTGTTCTGGCTCTCGGTGACGCTAAGAATCCCAGTGTTAGCTGTTCTGATGAACCTGATGATTTTCTGATCTCTATCCTCAATCTAGACCAAACCAACCACAGTTGAGCAGCTGGAGAACCTGGACAAGGTACTGATTAAAAAAAAATTCTGTATGATTGTACAGGTATATACTGTATTTGCCAGTTAGCTTTTCAGTTTAGGGATACACAATGAACTGGGGCCTGTCATAGAAGCAGGACATCATGAACATGAGGCTGTAATTCAATGTTTTATCAGCATAATTATCTAAGTAATGTCATTAATCCTGCCTCAGGAGAAAAGTCATTATATTATTGAAGTTGGAATGTGGCATGTGAGTATCCCAAATGAAATCACGAGGCTAATAGAATATAAGAGCAAATCACTGGAAGTAGGTGATTTCTTAACATCTGATTTCTTTTAGATTAGTTGCACTGTTTAAATACCTTTTAACCTCTGTGTTTTGCTTGCAGGAGATTAAAGAACTAGAGGACTTTCGAGCCAAAAACCAGCGTCTACAAAAGGTAAATCTGGCAAAATCTTCCAACAACATGCAGTGATATTCTTAGATTGTAGCATCTATTTCCTCATCATTGTGTTTATGTGTGTCTGTCTGTAGCTGTGGGTTGGTCGGTTGCTTCTCTACTCGTCAGTCCTTTACCTGTTGACCTCTCTGATCGTCTACTGGCTCTACCTACCAGAGCAGTGGTTGCAGAGACTAGCCATGGCCCTGCCTTTTTTCATATACCCCCTGCTGTGAGTCCCCATGTTTTTATCATCACTCTCAACCTTCTGCAAAACACAGATGCTCAGTTTTTTTCTAGTACCCAGAACCTTTGGAAGTGTCATTTTGAAGTTTTATTTTAATACTTTGGGTTTTTTTTATACAAAGTGTTTTTGCATTGTATGTAATTATTTTCCATGAATTTAGTTGGTTGTATTCTGTAGTGAGCAGTGTTGGATGACAAACAGGAAGTGGATGATGGAGAACAGCTACATAAATCTCTCACTTGACCTCTTTTTCTTTCTCTCCATCAGGGTGTGGTTCATTAGGAAGTTGCTGATCTTCCTTTTTTCTAAGCGCTCTGAGAGAAACAGTAAGTTCTCTGTCAATCCCTGACTGTCCACCTGTCCATCCAGCTAAAACCTCACATGTCCTCTTTTAGGACTTACCAAATGACATTTTGACCATGAAGTCTTACAGAATGTTTTAATGTCATACTGACGTAATAAACTCTTTTGCTATCTGATACTTGGAGTAGCCACCTTTGGAAACGCATTGATTTAACAGCCTGTGATGACAGCTGCAGTGATTTGTGTTTTTTATGATGTGTATTTCAACATCAGAAGCCGCTCACTGACAATTCAAAGTTGTGTAGATAACAAATGTAATTTAACAACAATAATAATACAAACTCATTAGCTTAATAAATTATGAAGTATAGATTATATTTCCAAAGATTGCTGACATGCTGCATGACAGAGCACAAGTGAACTCAGAAACGTTGTTCCTGTTTCTTTTTTAGGTGATAAGCTAGAAGATTTAAAGGTTGCCAAGAAAAACATTGTAAGTCTGCAGTCCTTTACACCTCACTTTACAGTTTTGCATGTTGTGCTGTTTAATGACAGTTTGGATATTATTATTTGGATTTTTTTTTTTTTTTTTTTTGGTCACAATACCATACCAACTTTATTTATAAAGCACTAAAACAACCAAGGTGGACCAAAGTGCTGTACATTCCAATAAACAATATATATTAAAAACACAACCCACAAGCAAAATCAACACCAAATATAAAAACATGAATCAATAAAAATAAATAAAATCAACGCCAAAATAAAAACATAAATCAATAAAATGAATAAAAACAGCACCAATATAAAATATCAAAACGCCAACGAAAATAAATGAGTTTTTAAAAGGGACTTAAAAACAGACAGGGTAGAAGCTTGTCTAATGGACAGCGGTAAATCGTTCCAAAATTTGGGACCAGATGAAAACCAAATATGTTAATGTTGTGTTTTATTTTATTAAGAGTAGAATTTTGTAATGGACCCTAAAATAAACAGGTAACCAGTGCAGGGAAGCTAAAACTGGAGACTCAGTGTGGAGCCACTGTAGCTGACAACCAGCATTTAGCTTTCTGTTTCTTTTACTAATGGTTGTTAGTGAGTTTAGAAAAGAGCACCAATTTAGTCACTTCTTTTAGTGTCCCTTCTCACCATTTAGGTTTTTCTTGGGGTTTTAATTTTGGATGAATCATTGTTTATTACCAGTGCTGCTTTGTGTGTTTGTCAAGTGACCACAGTTTAATCTGAATTTCACAATTAAAGATTCTGTGGTTTGTGTTTCCAGCTAGAGGAAGTGATGGAAAAGGAGACGTACAAAAATGCCAAACTCATACTGGAACGCTTTGATCCAGAAGCTAAGAGGAAAACTGTGAGTGCATATTGTCTAGTTTATTTATTTATATATATATTCTCTTTATTTGACTCCTGTTGTTTTGTTTGTGGTTATGCTTTAGGAGCTGGAGTCGACTCCAGCGCGTCCACAGATGAGTCCCAGGCCTGGACAAGGTATGACACACATCAGTACAGAGCAGAATGAGAAAGCATAGGGCTGCCTCCGAATAGTCGAGTCATTAGTCAAGAGACCTTTCAGTCGACTGAGACTCTTCTAGATGAGCTTTTGTTTTTATTTTATTAGATTTTATTTTTTGTCAGCCATTGTGCATTGCAGTAGGAGGAAGCTCCAGCCTGGTATATATTGTTGTTTTAAATAGGTCACAATTTAAATATTGCATCATATTGCAGCTGCTTTTATTTATTTATTTTTTGTTTGTTTGTTTTATACTCTTAGATATGGGCTTGTCACTCTTTTTTGCAATTAAATACTTATGTGAATGTGATTGAAGTCATCACTGAAATTCATGTCAGTTGATTTTCTGACGGTATTTTAAAAAAAGAAAGGGAGAAAAAGCGAACAGTTGAATAGTCACATCGAAGAGCCGCCTGACAGTCGACTGACAAAATCCTTAGTCAGGTACAGCCCTAATAAATCATCACATTTAAATTTTGTTAAATGGGAGTCAACAGGGCTTAGGGCAGATTTATACTGAGAGCAAGACCAGAGCTACACAAAGTGATTTCTTGTTAAAAGAGTGCAATAATAAATAGATAAATACATCAAATTCCTGTCTCTGCAAAAGAACAAATGCTGTAATGTGCTTCTTTCCTATATGCAGAGATTCGACAGAGAGGGGTGCCAATGAGACCCATGCCAATGGGCACACCAGTTGCCATGACAATGACTCCATCAGGAGCGCGACCCCCATCTGGGCAAGGGGACACACCTGTGGGTAAGGGAAGACGCAGGGATAGTCAGCATGATCAGCTGTTGTGTGGGGTCCACACAGCTGACTGACAGCTTGTAAGTTGGGGCGTTTCTCCAAAGAATACTTTAAGTCCATTCTTTTTCTGTCTACAAAGATTTCAGGCATCCAGGTGAAGTACTAAGTCACAGGTAACTGGAGTGAACAGAAAATCCAGTTTCCTTTGACTTGCTTCTTTTAGATATTTGCCTGTGTCTTCTTCTCATGTTGCTGTCCTTACAGAACCTAGAACCTGTCCTTCTCTCAGCTCCAGGTGGACCACCGGTGAGATCTTCTGTGTCTGCTTCTGTCCTCCAGGGTACAGTACCCAGGAGCCCCTGCTCCCCTATACCAGGTGTAGGTGAGTTGTATTGCCACTGAGTTCACTGGGTAAATGCTTGTATGTCTGTCACTGGTTTCTGCAATTGGAATTTGTAACATGTATTTACCTGATCCATGCATCACTAGTCACAGTATATTGTACTGAGGCATGCAGCGGCCTGGATGGTGCATTATAGAAAAAGGCTGTAAAATCAAATGTAAAGCCCCAAATCTTTTCAAAGTCTGTCACTGTGTAGTCTAATGCATTCTTCTGTGTCCATGCATAATCCTTTCTGTGTGTGTGTGGACTGCTTTTGTAGGCATGCACCCTCCAGGTCCTCCATTAGCAAGACCCATTCTCCCCAAAGACAGGGGAGCTCTGGATCGAGTCATTGAGTACCTGGTGGGAGATGGACCACAGAACAGGTAAAGCCCTTCATGAAATTAGCTTGTAACTTGCTCCCTGAGTCGGGTTCTCATTTAGCAGTTTACACACAGTATATTCAAGAAGGAAGTCTTGTGAGGTCATTGTCAGGGCTGCTGTACCCACTGCGGCCTGTTCTGCCTATAGCAGCACTTTAGAACTGCTGCTGCCTTCTAAAAGATCTCCTAGAATACACTGAACATGCCAGAAGTTAAACAGTCGTCTCTCTCTCTCTCTCTCTCCCCCCTAATTTTTCCTTCTTTCGTATAGATATGCGTTGATCTGTCAGCAGTGCTTTTCTCACAACGGCATGGCTCTGAAAGAAGAGTTTGAATACCTAGGTAAGAACACAAACACACCACTGCATTTAATGAGAAGAAGCATCTGAATAAAAAAAAAGCATAATGCAAGTGGAACTTTTAAGATTAAACACTCCAGGAAGTCAGTGTAATGGAAACTGAAAAATCAACTGAGGGAATCTCAGTACTTTGACACACTTGGTAAAATTATGCAGTCTCATTTATCCTGTCATTTCCTGTGACACTTTCTCTCTCTTATTTCTGTCTGCCTCCCTCTAGCGTTTCGTTGTGCGTACTGCTACTTTCTGAATCCAGCCAGGAAGACACGCCCTCAAGCTCCCAGGCTTCCAGAGTTCAGCTATGAGAGGAGGTTACGAGCAGAATCGCATGTCCCTGATCCAACACCATGTTCTGAGACAGATACAGAGGAGAGTGCGCCCCCTTGTGGAGGTGATGATAAACAGCTAGATAAACTAATATGCACACAAACACTATTAAGACCAGCCAAAGCCATGTCTCTTCAGGTCTGAGCTAAAAAAAACAAAAAGGGTTCTTGTTAAAGTGGCCCCTGGACTGAGGGGGCAAACATTCCGTGTCAGAGTTTATGAACCGGCATTAAGTTTATCCACTTGCAGAGCTGTCCATATACATCCATGCTATATACAGCGTGCTGACCTCGCTCTAACGTTGGCTTAGCCAGCCTTACTAGCTTGCTAATAATGAACTAGAAGAGTTAGATCTCTGTTATTGTCAGCATTGTGTTAAAATAAACAGGGAGAGGAGGAGCTGTTCACAGACGGTCCATCATCATGGTTGTCACCTGTTTATGAGAGAGAAATTGTTGTTGTGTTACGTAAATTGCTTATATTGTTAATATACTAACATAATAAACGTGAATCCACTGTGTTGAAATTTTTAACTCCCCATAACGCTAAATCAATGGGAGCCCTGAACTTGTTTCTCTGCAACGAGACGGTCCCATCTGGGGGTAATAGGAGACAATGACACCCGAAGTGTGTTGCTTATGTTCAGTCTACTCCGTTGTTTTGTTTTGGTTGCTGTCACTGCAGAAAAACCACACAGATCACACAGATAGGATGTCGGAAATGGCAACAGGGTTTTCAGTGCTGTGATGGCAATCTCAGGGTATTCTGTCATGACTTTA